CTTTTGTTCCCTGCCTCCAGACCCTGTTTTCCTGCCTCAAAGCATGCTTTCATCTCAGGGCATTTTCTCCTGCTCTTCCTCCAGGTATCTTTATGGCTTGCTTCCTCACTTCACTCATGTCTGTGCCCCAGTGTCAAGCCCTCTAAAAGACCTGCCCAGACTACTCTTGAAAATAGTAGGGCCGGGCGCAGTGGCTCATTCCTGTAATCCCAGCACTTTGGAAAGCCTAGGTGCGCGAATCACTTGAGGTCACGCGTTCGAGACCAGCCTGGCTAACATGGCGAAACCCTGTCTCTACTAAAAATACAAAAATAAGCCAGGAGTGGTGGTATGTGCCTGTAATTCCAGCTAATGGGGAGGCTGAGGCATGAGAATTGTGTGATACCTTACCTTGTTTTAATATGAATAGACTCTCCCTTAGCTGAGAAAGCCAGAGGGACTCCATTTGGCTCCTTCATTTGTAAGACATCTAGGGCTCCTTACCCACCCCCTTCCTCAAGGACTTAACTTGTGCAAGCTGACTCCCAGCACATCAAAGAGTGCAATTAACTGATAAGGTACTGTGGCAAGCTATGTCCACAGTTCTAGGAATTCGCCCGGGTGATAGTACTCTAAAGCCCCCCGCATTTGTGTCCGGCAGATAGCACCCAGAGCCCCTGCACCTATCACCTTGTGATGAATTTAAAGCCCCTGCACCTGGAACTGTTTGTTTTCCTGTAACCATTTGTCTTTTTAACTTCTTTGCCTGTTTTTACTTCTGTGAGATTGCTTCAGCTCGATTCCCCCTCCCCTTTCCAAACCGAAGTATAAAAGAAAATCCAGCCCCTTCTTCAGGGCTGAGAGAATTTTGAGCGCTAGCCGTGTCTCGGTCGCCGGCTAATAAAGGACTCCTGAATTAGTCTCAGAGTGTGGCGTTTCCCTATAACTCCCTTGGTTACAACAATTGCTTCAACCCAGGAGGCTGAGGTTGCAGTGACGTGAGATCATGCTGCTGCACTCCAGCCTGGGTGACGGAGTGAGACTCTGTCTCAAAAAAATAATAATAATTAAAATTTAAAAAAGAAAAGAAAATAGACCTCCACCAACTCTGTGTTCTCCTTTCTTTTTTCACAGCTTTTTTCAGTGTCTGTTATATACGTGTGGGTTTGTTGCTTGATTTTTTTCCCCTACAGCATAAGATCTTTTAAGGGTAGGCACTTTGTTTTGTTCTCTACTATTTTCTCATCACTGGCAACAGTGCCTGACACATAGTAATAGCTTGGTAAATATTTATTGAATGAACGAATAAGTTAAGTGAAAAAAAAAAGCGGCGAGTGGATTACCTGAGGTCAGGAATTCAAGATGAACATGGCCAACGTGGTGAAACCCTGTCTCTACTATAAATACAAAAAAAATTTAGCCAGGCGTGGTGGTGGGCACCTGTAATCCTAGCTACTCCGGAGGCTGAGGCAGAACAATCACTTGAACTCAGTAGGCGGAGGTTGCAGTGAGCCGAGACTGTGCCACTGCACTCCAGCCTGGGCAACAGAGTAAGACTCCGTCTCAAAAAAAAAAAAAAAAAAATGCCATCACGTGTAAAAAGGAGTGATGGGTAATAGCTACAATGTTGAAAAAAAAAAAAAAAAAAATGCCATCACGTGTAAAAAGGAGTGATGGGTAATAGCTACAATGTTGGCATATGCATATTCCAGTAGCAACTCCGGAAGGAGATCTGGGAGATGAGGGTGGGGAAAGGGTGGGAAGGACACTTCATTTTCACAGTGTGCTCCTTTACGCAGTATTTTATAACCAAGTACATGTGTTATCTTTTCAACAACATA